TCCGTGAAAAGTGAGGCTCGCTGGTCACTTGGGCCATGCCATGGGATTTTGCAGGCTGAGCTCACATCAAAAATGAAACACAAGAGATGTCACCTGGGAATTCCGATTTGGCCTCCCTCACCGAGGGTGCTACGAGATGGCGAGCTGACTTCTACCCAGCAGTCGCTGCCCGGATGTGCCTATCCTGTCTGCCAGGACGTGCCTAACTGTGTCTGTGGCTCTGAGACCAAAGCTGAGGCCAGCTGCTGTTTATCATCGCACTGGCCCTGCTGCTGTCCTTATAAGAGAGACATATGGCTCTGAATTCATATCTTGTGTATTGAAGATGGCTGCAAACGTTTGGGTCACTTTTCTCATGAAGAAGTGAAGGCAGTCTCCCCTCCTCTGAGCCAGGGCTGGCAGTGGCTTGTTTTGGCCATCAGAATGTGGGAGAAGTCATGCCTCAAGATGGCGCAGCCTCAGCTTTCACATACTTGGAACAGTCCCTTCTGGAACCCAGCCATCATGCTGGGAGAAGCCAAAGCCACTTACAGAGGCCACCTGGAAGGAACTGGAATACTCCAGCCTTTTTTTTTGGTGGTGCTGGGGATTGAACCCAGGGCCTGGTGAATGCTAAGCATGCACCTCCACCACTGGGCTCCATCCCCAGCTCTGGAACACGCCACCCCACAATTCCAGTGAAGCTCCCGGCCACAGCCAGTCCCCCATCAGCTACATAAGTGAGTCATCCAGAAGGTTCCTGACTGGTCGAGCCTCCGGGTGATGCCAGCCCTGGATGATGTCACATGCAGTGAAAGAACCACGGCACAGTCCACTTAACCCACAAAGTTAGGAGGGCTATGAAGTGGCTGCTTTTGTTTTTTATGTCTCTGAGTTTGGGGGTGGTTTGTTCTGCAGCAGTAGCTCACCAAAACACCAGGTCCTGATCAAGGGTCAGGAGAAGAATGGGTACCTCTGAAGGCTCCATGTTTCAGGAAAAGTGGAAGAAGACAGAGCTTTGACTGAGAACTCTCTCTACTGGGATCAGGCATAGAAATCCAGCTTCTTCCTAAACCCACACGGGCGGGTCTCTGACACCTTGTGGTTGAGGACTCTGGTTCTGAGGGAAAGTGGTCACTGATGGGAGGACACTAGACCCCAGGGCCATACCTTCTCTGCCTTCCATTTCCCCACCCGTGACAATGCAGTAACAGTATCTGCCCTGTTGCCTGCCGTGGCAGGGATGTGGTAGGACTCCAGGAGAACCGCGTGTCTAGACATGTCTTCTCTGTGGCCAAGAACTTTGCAAATGCCAAGTGCTGTTATTTGTTGTCTATACCCAGTAGTTTTTAAAACAAAGAATTCCTATAACTAAATCTCTAGAACACTTAGGGTCCCCGAAAGCAAAGTGTATCTGTATTTGATATGCAGAGAGCTATTTCTTTTTACTTATCTATTTATTTTGAGGCGGGTCTCACTGTGTTGCAGCCAGGCCTCAAACTCCTGGGCTCCAGGGTCCCTCTTGCCTTCACCTCCTGAGCCCCTGAGCCTGCCGAGGAGAGCTTTGGAGTCTGTCTAGCCAGTTGACCTTGAAGTCCATGACATTGGACCAGCAATGACATACGGGTTCCACCTCCTATGCCAAGCTCCATGTGTTTATACCTAGAGAACCTTTGAGGTTGATTCTGAGACCACATCTGAGTGGAGACAAGCTGTAAGTGACCCTCCGCATTTGACAATTTTTTTTTTTTTTTAATTTAAAGAGCTTCTTCTTTTGTTCTATCATCATTATGTCTTCTGGGGATTGAACACAAGGGTGCTTTATCACTGCCCCCCATCCTCAGTCCTTTTTATTTTAAATTTTGCTCCAGGGTCTCACTAAGATGCATGGGCTCATCTCAAACTTGCAATCCTCCTGCATCAGCCTCTCTAGTAGCTGAGATTTAGACAGGAGCCGCCACACCTGGCTCTTTTATTTTTGAAGACCTAAGGATGAGATAGCAGAGTATAAGGTAGAAGACATGGAGTTGAGTTCCCACTCCTTCACCTGCCAGCTGCATGGTTGTGGCTGTGGCCCACACCCAACTTCTCTGAGCCTCAGGCAGGACATTGAATTGAGGAGGAGGATGGTGGCATGTTTGCTGAGCACTTGCTCTAGGTTGATATGCACAACTTCTTCTGATCCTCACAACAACCTCTTTGGCGGGGGGAGGGGGTGGGGAGGGGTCTGTTTTATCATTACCTTCACTTCTCTTGTAAGGAACAGAGGCATACACAAGTCAAGATGCGGGCCTAGGGCTGGGAGTGTAGGTCTGTGGTACAACGCTTGCTGAACACACATAAAGCCCTGGGTTTGACCTCTAGAAAACTGCAAGGGGGAAAAAAGGAAAGAAAAAGAGAAATTTGGCTTGGCCCAATCACCCAGTCACTAAGACAGGAAGCCGGGATCTGAACCCTGATAATCTAAACCAAGTAGGCAAACTTGTTTCCTAAAGGGCCAGATGGGAGATATCTTAGGCTTTGGCTGTGGCTCAGCATGTGTGAGGCCCTGGGTTTGATCCTCAGCACCACATAAAAATAAATAAATAAAATAAAGGTCTATCTACAACTAAAAACAAATTCTTAAAAAAAAAGCCGGGCACGGCGGTGCACACCTGTAATCCTATCAGCTGAGACGCTAAGGCAGAAATCTTGCAAGTTCAGAGCCAACCTCAGCAAAAGCGAGGCGCTAAGCAACTCAGTGAGACTCTGCCTCTAAACAAAATACAAAACAGGGCTGGGGAGGTGGCTCAGTGGTCAAGCCCCAGTACCAAAAAAACTGCATGTGATCTCCTGACCTACAGAACACTTAGCTTAGCCCAGCCCACCTCGAACATGATCCGTTGGGCCTACCACTGGGCATCGCTAGGTGCCATCCTCTGTATTTGCTGGCTTGGAAAAAGGTCAAGATTCAAAGTATATCTTTACTGATTTTTTTCTTGCTTTTGCACCAAAATAAAGATCGACAGTCATCGGAGGAGCCATCCCAAGTTGGACGTCGCCTGCACTGTTATTTGATGAGGTTGGGTCTCCTGGATGGGCCCCAGCTCCCCCCTTGTATAAACCATTACATGAGTTTGATTTTAACCTAGGAACCTGGAACTGAGCGCATTTTTCTTTAGAAATAACACTACAAATGGCATGAGAGCCGTGGGCCCTTCGTGAAACCCTAATTAATGGGTACAGTGCCCATTGAACAAAGCATGCTTTGACTTACCCTGAGTGATCGTTTAAAATGTTGTTTCTTGTTATTTCCAACTAAGGATGCTGAGACAGACTGCTCCTGGGCAGCAGGACGAAGCAGGTACCTGCCTGAGCCTTGGGTGGAGGTTGCCTTCGGAGCATTTAGCAATGATTTCAGACTGTGGAATTCCACGGACCCATGTAAATTTTTAGAACTAAAAACTAGAGGACTTGTGAGGTAGCCACGCTGTGATTTTTCCAAGGAAGCACACTGAAAAAACAAAGCCAAAAACCACTGTTTTAATACCTAGTGTTGCTGAAGCTGCCTTTGATCCTGGGATCAAAAGAAAAAACCCTCAGAATCAAGGATGGTTGTTTCAATGGACTAAACTGGGCTTTGGAGCAGTTTATCAGGGGTCAGGGCACCTAATTGGCTTTATAAGATTTTAATATTTTTACCAAGGACCAGGAAAACTTTGCCTCCAAGCCAACAGTTCTGGGCTAGCATTTAAAAATCCCTGGCTTTTAGGAAGGTTGTTGGTAGTTGCATAGACTCATGGAAGGTGCTGGACAGAAAAAAAGAGAGAGGACCATGTGACAACCAGCCACGGTGCAGTCAGAAGGCAAAAGCTGCACCCCTCAGGGGGTTTTAAGCAGGAGAGGAGTGAACACAATATCAAACTCACCCCTTACTGGTGCAAATATCTGCAGCTGCCGTCTCCTGGTAGAGTTTCTAAGGCTTTTGCTTTTTTTAATCCTTCCAGAAATGCAGCAGGGAAAGCAGGAAAGATGCTCTGTGCATTCTAGAGATTAAATAGCAACTCGTTCAGAACTCCAAAGACCAGTGCTATGGTTTGAATGCCAGGTCTCTCTCAAATTCAAAGGTTGGAACCTAATACCCAACGTGATAGTATTAAGAGAGAAAGCCTTTGGAGAAGTTAATACCTCATAAGGCTCCTCCCTCATGAGTGGATTACTGATCCCTAACAGTGCTCCCACCCCCAGTGCCTTTTGCCCTTCCATCTCTTCCTCAACCTGAAGAAACAACACTCGCTCCTCTTGCCTCTCAGCCATGCAAGGTGGTAGCAAGAGGTGCCATCTTGGAAGCAGAGGGCAAGCCCTCATCAGACGCTGACTCTTCTGGTAGCTTGATCTTGGACTCCTCAGACTCTGGAACTTTGGAAATCAATTTTTATTATTTATAAATTATCCAATCTGTAGTATTTTGGTATAATACCATTAACAGACTAAGAGTATAAACAAAATAATTTTTTGAAGGTTTTTTCTAGAGCCCATGTTCAACACTCAAGCAAGGTATTTGGAAAAATCAGGGCTCCTGGGTTAGATGGATTTCCATGACTCATTCATTAATTTATCTGTGAAACAGGAATCATAGCACTCAGGAACAATGAGGACCTCATTTCTGTAAAAGGGGCTTCTCCTCAGTGTTGGGCAGGAGGTCCCTGTTGCTTTATGTCTGCAGTGGGGGCGTGAGCTCTTGGCCTGGTCCCATAACCAGTCACTGGGCCTAGCTGCATCAGTGCCTCCACTTTTCATTCCTTCCTAAAATCTCACCTCTTCTCTCCAGTTTTTCAAAGTAGCTTTAGTGACAGTTCCTACATAAACCATCTGGGAAGGGTCATGGTCAATAAAAACATCCCTCATGTCAGCGTTTTTTCTAATTCTGAGCCAGAGTGTTCAGAACTCATATTTGAATAATTCCCAGTTTGTAAAATTTGAAATACACACACACACACACACACACCATGCCAAATAAGGAGGCCAAAAAACCAGCTTCTTGGTGGAGACATTTCCAGCTCCACCAATGAGTTCATTGAGGCTATCCTCGGAACCATTGGAGTGGATGCTCTACCCATCTCCCCACCTCCACCCTCAGTTCCCCAGACCTTTTTTATTTTTTTTTTTAAACCATGCTTGTTACTGATCTTTCCCCCCCGACTCACCATCAGGTTTTGAAGCAGCTCTGCAAGGCGGCAGAGATACTGGAAGCAAATGACAGAGGGCTGAACGCTGGACACAGATGCTTTCCAGCTTACTGCTCATCGACTTTGCCCTTGGCAATCCCTGGAATTTTGCCTGGACTGGGAGCCATCGCTGGATGGGAAAGGTGTCTCTTCTGTCTGTATCTAGCAACTGTGACGTCCTCTGTGCTCCCTCCATTACCCACATGGTCTCCTGGTCGAGAACCTGGACTCCTCCCCCCTGAAGCAACCATTTAAGTTACTGCCGTGAGTCCCTCTGCTTTTTGTGGCTCTAGAAGGGATGGGCTCTGCTGTCTGTGCTGTAAACAGAGCCTCTTCGACCCCAGTGTGCTCACCCCGCATCTTGTTCCTAGACAGAGGCAGACTGGGGAGGTGGGAGGCACGTCTGCATTCCGGACAAGTGCCAGTGGGTGTGTGTCATCTGCCTGCTCTGGTCCCTGGCTTGGAGCAGGAGGCTCTAGACTGTGGTTCACTGAGAACGGCTGGAAGGCCCTCCATTCCCGTGGGCAGCCCACCTACTCTGCGGCTTCTAAGAATGGCACAGTGTTCCATGGTGGGCACTTCTCATGCTCTCTCCCAACTCCCAGGTCACCCTGCAATAAACCTCAGTCGGGGCGTACAGGACCCCACCACCGTGGGTGCGGAGGAGCAGCACTGCCACGCTGGGCCTTGAGTGGTCAGCCGTCCCCTCTGCAGTTTCCCTTTTCAGTTTCAGTCACCTGCATTAACCATGGTCCAAAAATATAAAAAGGAAAATTCCAGAAATAAACAATTCATAAACTTCAAGTAAGTTGTGCTGTGGTTTATAATTGTTCCAGTTTATCATTGTTGTTAATCTCTCACAGTGTCTGTAAATCTGAACTTTATCTTAGGTGTGTTTATATGGGGAAAAGCATAGTACTGGTGGGGCTCCGTACCCTCCGGGGTTTCAGACACCCATTGGGGGTCTTGCTCTGTGTCCCCCACAGATAAACTACTGTACTGAGTTTGGGTAAGTGCTGCCAGGCTGCTTTAAAACAGCCCTTGCCTCCTTTTAAAATGGTGTTGCTGATACTCTCCACTGTTATCACCAGCTAAAATGTTCGTGATGATAATAGCAACATCCACACAGGCAAACGAGATGGCAGAGAGGCCTTGGCCAGTGGCCACCCTCAGGGGACTTTGGAGATAGGAGTGGCTCATGAGGATGGTTCCTTGTGGCCTATGACTTTACCGCACCCTCCTGTCTCTGAAATCTCTAAAGAAATTTCTGTAGTTGCTGCTGCCTGTGACTTTGGGTAGGTTGAGGACCCTGAGTGTGGGGTATCATCTCTCATCTCTCCCCATGTTCCTCCCTGGGTTCCCCCACCCATAAGTGCTGTTAGCCATTCCCTTTCATGGATGAGGACACAGTCCCAGACCCCAGGGTACCTGCCCCTTCATCTCTGTGATGAACTGGCTCTCTGAGGGCAACAATGACATGGTGAGTCCCATCCAGGGATGTGCCATATGAGGATAGAAACCTCCCGGGGAGTCTGGCCTCCTGGGAGGAAGGAGTTTAACTACACGCAGGTGGAAACTGAGGCACGCAGAGATTAAAGGCACTCACTCTGGGTCACACTCACAAATAGGAGGGGCAGGATTTGTCAGGCCTTGTGGTCTGGGTCAAGAGGCTGTGTGGATGTGGGCGTCCTCATCATCCCCGAGTTCCTGTGTCCTCCCACTGAGCGGCTTGGTTGGCCCACTGACATGAGTTGAATCTCCTCTGCGTTTTCAGTGAGCAGCACTGGTCAGCTTTGCGGCTGAGAGACCAAGTGCGGTCTCCATCACCTCTGTCCCCCATGAGTGGGGCACCTACTTCATCCCCACAGTCAAAAACGTGGGAAGCCACTAGGGCTGGATGCCCTGTGCTACCTGGGGCTGTGTCCATGATCTCGTGATTTCTTTCCACCAAGGAGGTTTTCCAAATGGCCTTCTGCATGGGAAGAGGCACCACCCTCCGTCCTGATCATGCAGGGGGCTTCCAACCACAGCTCACACTGGGACAACTCAAGGTCCTGGAGGGTGGGGGACACTCGTCACTTCTTGTTGTAACTGCTGAGTGTTCACCACGACTCTGGAGAGTTCTGGCCAGCCTTTTAGGCCACGAGGATGTGAGACAGAGGAGGTGGCTCGTCTGAGAAGGCTGCGGAGGGTGTGTGTGAACGCAGGCCGCGGTGACCTCCCTGTGTGTCGGGCTTCTCCTGAGGCGCAGAGCAAATGGAATACATGTACTTATAAGAGAGATTTTTACTAGACTGGCTGACACCATCAGGTGACAGTCTCAGGTGGCTGTCTGCAGGCTGGAGAGCCTGGAAAACCAGTCCTGAAGGGCCACAGGCAGCGCGTGACCCCTCCTTACCGCACTTCACCTTGGCCCAGGCCTGGGGCTCACTGCCTGGCACAGCTCGCATTGAGGGCAGGGCTTCCCCACTCAGTCCACGGACCCACATGTCAATCATCTTGGAAACATCCTCACAGACGCTCCCGGGGCTGTGCTTTACCAATTTCCCAGCCGTCTCTCAATCCTGTCAAGTTGACAACCAAGATTAACCTTTGCACCAGGACCCGGATGCTGAAGCTGCCCAGCCTCACCTCACAGAGCAGGGAGGCCGACTCCCAGGGTCAAAGCCCTTGTTCGCAGGCCTTGGCCACGCCTTGAGTGACACCTTGAATGCCTCCCCAGAGCCCCGCCCTCCCCAGAGCCCCGCCCTCCCAGAGCCCCGCCCTCCCCAGAGCCACGCCCTCCCAGAGCCCCGCCCTCCCCAGAGCCACGCCCTCCCCAGAGCTCGGCTCTCGTGGATCAGTTTCTCTGCGTATTAATGGCGGCCATCCCTCTCCTCCCCTCGCTCCCTCTCCTTGCTGGATACATTTTCTGTATACATCCCGATGGAACAAAACAGAAATCATCAACACCAGGTATCTCCTCCTCCTTCCTTTCTTCCTCTGAGACTGGCATGTGATAAAACAGAACTTGGACTTTGCAGTATGTTCCTGGCCTAAGGAAAAGAGCAGGGTAGTTTCTAGGAGGGGGAAAAAAATGTAGCTGCTGTAGATGTCCCTGACCATCCAGCTGCCCCACAGCCCAGGGTGATGGTGTGACCGCCTGGGATAGGAAATAATTTCCTCATTCCAAAGTTGCCCTGCAACCCTTTGTCCGAGTCCATCAACGCTGCAGGAACAGAGCTAAACACAGTGACCAAAGAATCAGACTCTTGAGTTTTCAGTTCTAAATAGGCTCTGCAAACTCAAAGAAAATTGACTCCAAAGCCCGCATTCTGATTTGTGACGCTGGGCATTTTGATAGAAGAAAAGAACCCGAGCTCCCCGCTCTGTAGCAAGTCCCCAGGGCCGCCCGGGGCTTCCTCTTTCATTACACAGGACAAAATACAAAAGAACCCCCTTCCTGTGACCCTGTCTCTACCCCTCCACCTTTCCTCTTTTCTCCATTTCTTTCACCCAAAAATGCTGCACCTCAAAGTTAAGGATATTCTCCCACTGTTTTATCACAGCTGAGATTATAACTAAAAAATTCAGACAGCAGGATATTCCATGAATAATAAGACTGTGGACACGTTCTGTCCTAGGAGCAAGGAAACCTCGGTAGAGACACTGGGATAGAGGGATGGCCCCATTCCAAACATGCAGTATGTTCAAGAAGATCAACGCAGCCTCTCCCTCACATCCAATAAGCCCTAGCAATTCCAGGGAGAGAAGACCAGAGTTCCAGATGTGCTGAGAAATTCATCAGAGTCTCACTCAAAGCCCCGTTATACACATTAACACGACTGATTCTTACCTTTCTAGTTGATGAGCTGTTTCACTGCATTGGTGTCATGAAAACAAGAAGAGAACCCCACAAGGAGTCAGGCACCACGCAGAGTGCCCTTTTGCAGCTAGAATGTGTCTCTCTGTTTTTCAGGTTCTTAGAGGCAATGTTGTAGTGTGGATCTTGAGAGTCCCCCAAAGCGCATGTGTTGAAGGCTTGGTCCACGGGCCTTGTTCTTGTGCCGCAGTCCGGCTGCAGCAAAATAACCGGGGGGTGACGAACAACTTGTGTGCATTGATACAGCAGGAGTAGGAGCCGTTTATTGTAGGACAGGAGCAGTATTTATACATTCCACACAGCTTATCTAATTAGCATAAACTAGATACATCAGTCAACCAATCAGGAATCTCCACACTTAATGGCTCGCTTTTGTTACTTCTCAAACCACTCCCTCTGGCATTTTGCCAGGCACCATCCAGACTTGTTTGTTTCGAACTCTAACATTCCCCTGGCAAAATGCCAGGTGTTATTTTGACTTGTTTACAGACTCTAACATTCTTGGAAGGTGGTGGGACCTTTAAGAGGTGGAGTCTAGTAGGAAGAATTCCAGTCATTGGGGGTGTGGCCTCTGGGGATTGTGGGCCCCTGGCTCCTTCCTGTTCTCTTCCTCTCCACCACGTGCTCCTGTCATGATGTGCTGTCTGCAACAGGCCCAAAGCACTAGGCCCATCATCATGGGCTGGAGCCTCCCAAACTATGATTCCAAAACAAGACTTTTGTCTTTATAAGTTAGTTATCTCAGGCGTTTGATTATAATGACAGAAAGCTAACTAATACAGGTACTCTCATTAATTTTCAGTGAGTCAGGTTAGGAGGTTACTCCTTTAGTAAAACAGAAATAGTTTGAAGGCAATGCTCTTGGTTTACAAGGTATCAGGTCCAGGTGGACACCTGCCCTTCCCCAGCTGCCTCTGTACCCTCCCACTAATCCTATGGTCTGAGACACTATGGCCATAAATCAGGCAGAAGCCAGCCCTAGAATATAAATTTGTCACACAGGATTACTGGGTGGCTTGCTGTTACACCTTACCTCCTAGTCTCCCTGTTCTCTCCAAGAACAGTGCCAACTCAGAGTCCTTGACACCAGAGGCTTGGCTTTCAGTCAAACCCATCCTAATTGATAAAGATCCTATATCTAGAAACAGGTGAACTGAAGGGAAGAACGTCATATCTGGTTTGCCAGCCAAACTCTGGACTAAATCCAAGTCCTGGGGAAAGAAGGGAAGGTATTTTTGTTGTTGTTGTTGTTGTTGTATTACAATTGTACATAATGGTGGGATTTAAGATGGCTTAGGTTGTGACTGAATAATTAGAATGAATAATTAATCAGATGAAACTCATAGAAGCTGGACTGAAATTCCTATGATGGTCCTTAGAGTTCTGACACCCAGACTTGGGGAATGTTCTATCTGACGATTATGTCACTATTTGGGGGACCATGGATTGCACCACACCCCATGGATGGTTTCATAGGAACAGATGTGGTCACAGCCCTGGGAAGGGGATATTCTAGTACAGGGAATGGGACACTGGAATTGGATCTAAAAGAGAATGTTGCATATCTCCTGCCCCCCAAGTACCTTAGGGTCATTTTTGCCCAGAGTTTCAGATAGAGAGGTGCCCAGAGCCCTTAGAGGACAGGAGGGGAGAACCACTTGATACAGAATCCTCGAAAGTCCTGGGCTTGTCCACTGACGATAAGTTCTCTCTTCTCAACTGTCAGTAAAGTCCATTACAAGGTCTGGTCTCTGCTGTCATATAGAAAATGAAGGGAAGGGCTGGTTGGTGGTACAGAGGGGAACCCCAAGCCTCACTTGGGACATCCCATCTCTGGGGGGCTGTGTAGTGGTCATATTCTGAGGGCCATTGGCAGTAGAGAGGCAGTTGATAAAGCTGCCCCTACCTTGGGAAAGGAGGCCCTCCGACTCACCATGGACCT